CAAATATTTTTATGGTTTTAATGCAAAGATGATCGGATAATGTATAAAGACTCTCATGGTTAATGAAAGTTTTTTTTGTTTCGATCGATCCAAGACAATACCCCTATCTGTATTTTATTAATTTCATGCATCCATTTTAATAAAAGTAAATACTAACAACAATATCAATGATATTATATCATGTGATCTAATTCATGGTTAATAAACTAAGGTTCAAGGATAACAAAGTCGAGGACTCAAAATCAATCAATTTTGCATAGATATAATACTCGTTCTCAGACTTAAGCTATGAAAAAAGAGAATACAGCCAGATTTGAAAGGGTCGAAAGGGCACATGAGGAGATACAAGAAAGACTAATGAAAATACAACAAAGTATCGAAGTACAAATGACTGAATTAAGACAACTATTGTCTGGTTCAATGAAAGAAAAAAAAGTCGCTGACGCGTCAAGGATAGGGGAAGAGATTAATATGGAAGAGCCATTATACCCTCCAGGATTTACCCTGTCTCAAGCTCAAGTTCAAGCTCCTCGGGGTATACACGTACAGCCACCAAGTGTGCAAATTAACAACCGACTCACTTGAATACTAATTCAGGACCCATCACAGTCGATCCTATCATGGTGCCAAATCTTGATGATCTGTTGAACAGAAAAAGTCTCGTGAAATGTCAGAGCTTATTATAAACTCAAAAATACGAAACAAGTATGATCAACTTAAAAAGAGGCTCAAAGTAATAGAAGAAAATGATATCTATGAAGTTGTTGACGCTAATGAGCTGAGCTTAGTACTTGATTTGGATATCCTACCCAAATTTAAAACCTTAAATTTTAAGAAATATGATGAAACAAAATGCCCTTCTGCTCATATTATCATGTTCTATCAAAAGATGATAGGCCATACCAAAAATGATAAACTCCTAATACACTATTTTCAAGACAGTTTACTGGATCAGTAGCAAGGTGGTATGTGCAGTTAGATCGGAGTAAAATCCATTCATGAAAAAAGTTAGCCAAAACTTTTATTGCTCAATATAAGCATGTCCTTGATACAACCCCTCTACTTTTTATTTTTTTCCCTTTTATTTTTATCTTTACTAAATATTTTTAAAATTTTTTTTAAGACTAGTTTGATATTATTGATTAAAAATATATTTGTTATATTTTTCTTTTTTTTTTGTTTTTTAAATTAGATAAATTTGTAAGAAAATAATATTAACAGATGTATCTATGTGGTTAAGTTTTTATTTTTAAAAAAATCCATGATATAAATTTTGTAAGAACAACACATCATTTCTAATGTCGTGTGGCAACTCAATTTTTTCTTTTGTTTTTCGCCTTTTCTTTTTAAAATTTTTTTTTCCGTTTCTTTTTATATTAGATCAATTTTTTGGAAAAAAAATCAACAAATTTTTCCACGTGACACTTTATTTCATTTGTTTGCCTTTCTTTTTTTTAATTAGATAAATAATATAACAAAAGAAATTGATAAATAAATTTTTAAGATAAAAGTCAAATATGTGATTAATAACAATTCATTTTAAAATCAATTCGTGAATTCAATAGTTGTATTTTTAATTTTTGGGTCAAAATGAGTTTTTTTTTTTCAATACTCTAACTCAATCAAATGAAAAGTCAGAGATGCACCATTTCGAATCATCATAAAATAGATATTTTATATTTTATTAATTTTACATTAAATATAGATTATTAATAAATTTAATTTTTATTTTCATCGAAAATTACTAACAAATGCTAAGGATAGAATAGAAAAACAATTCAATATTTGATGTGATCTACATTAAGAGTTTATCTAGTTATAAGTGAACAAATTAAGTTTTTAGAAAAAAATAAAATCGGGTTGATAACGAATAAATGATGCTTTGTTACAATTCATCTTGAGATTTATTAAAAATATATATTTTATTATCCATAATATAAGTTTTGCACATTTTGACCTTCAAGTGTCACCTTTTTAACTCACTTTTTACATTTTTTCTCATTTTCTTCTATTTTTATTATTTCCATTATTTCATTTTTTTTCTTTTTTTTACATTTTTTCCTTTCTCCATTTTTCATATTCAATAAATAATATTTTTAAAAATTTTATGATTAGGGTCATTCAACATTATTAATTAAAAATATTTTTTCTTTGTCCTTTTTTTATTTTTTTTTTTTAATTAAATAAAATTTTAAGAAAATAATGTCAATAAAAATGTTCACAAAGCACTTTAATTTTTTTTTTTCCTTTTATTTTTTTATTTTCTATTTTTTAATTATATAAAATTTACAATAAATGAGACATTGATAGAGACGAGGAAACAATCAATATTAAATAGATTTCTATCCATTTCAATTTGATATTGACGATTTTTAAAAAAAATGGTAATGAATCAAGTTAGGTTGGTTTTTAGAAAATAGAGACAGATCAGAAGTGAATTTAGGATGCTTTGCCTTAAATCATTCTTTGGTATATATAAAAAATATATATTTTATTATAATTTAATTTTATATTTATATATATATTATTAGTAAAGTTATTATTTAGTTTCTTGACTTAAAAAATAAATATGCTAAGCTTAAAGAAGGTATATATATGGCACCCTCAATGAGTTTTTTATTTATTATTATTATTTATTATTTTTGATTTTTTGTTTTTAGTTTTCATCTTTTATTAGATAAATTTTGTGAAAAAAGATACTAATTAAGGTATTCACGTGTCACTTGCATATATATATATATATATATTTATTATTTTAATTAGGTAAATTTTATAATAAAAAAATTGATGATGTAAAAATTATTGTTTATTTTATTAAAATTTATATCAAAATAATAAAAATAAAAATAAAAATAAATTATGAATTATTTTTAACAATTTAAAAATATTTATTTTAATTAATAAAAAATTGAACCCACATCATCGCACATGCTTATCATATATCATATAATAAATAACATTTATAATATTATATTACAAGATACATGTTTATCAAAAAAAAATTTGCTGATGTTGATAGATCATTTGATATCTAAAAACATTTTTAAAACTTTTTTTTATAATGATACATAAGATATTTATTAATTTTAAATTATTTATCAAAAAATATATATTTAAAAATTTATTTAGTTATTCAAAACTTTCAAAATTTAAATAAAAAACCAATTCATATATATAAAATAAAAATTGATCACATTATCTATAATTAATTCTCTATTATTTGTTATAGCAATTGTTATTTTAATTTTAGCTATATCTTTTTACGGTAAGTTTTGATTTTAAGTTTTAAGTGTTGGTTTCACATTATCAACATTTCTTTCAACTAATTTAAGTTTAAAATAATTAAATAGATAAAATTACTATTTAAAATAAAAATTAAAAAATAAATTATAATATAAATTTAAAATTTTAATTTATATCTTATTTAATTCATATTTCAATAGTTGTGTAGATATATCTCTTTTTCTAATTTTAAAATCTTAAAATTTAATATTTTTACTTTCATAAAATTTTTTTTATATTCACTTATTTTTAAAACATTTTAAAATTTAAAAAGATAAATATCACTTATTATATTTTTTAAATTCAAAATATATTTATTAATTTAAAAATTATCCAAACACTTTAATTGTCATGCAATAAATCTATAATCAATATGTGCTACACCATTATTATTTTTTAAATTTACAACCTTTTTTGATAGGTATACTATTGCTTTTATAATTTTATTATTCTAAAAAATTAATATTTATTTCATTTCATTCTTCTTTTAACACTCATTTACTAATTTTATTCTTTCATTTTTATTTAGGAGTTTTGATAAATTATATGGTATGTTCGTACATGTGTATTACTTTTTTTTTGTTTTTCAAAAACAATTTATATTAAAAAATAACTTATTAGGATTTTTTTTCTTAAAATTGTATTCTTTTTATTCTTGATAATTTTCCTGATTTTAACTTATTATCAAGAAATATTATTTTTTTGCTTTTCACATTTTTCATATATTTCAAAAGTAATTTATTTTGTTATGAATTAGTTATTGAGATGATACAATTTGATTATGATAAAATAAGTACTATTATTTGTAGAGAAAAAAAATTTTTTTTTATATGAGGAGGTTAAAACCCTAATACAAGTAAAGGAAGGTGGGAGGTCTGGTTCGAAATCAAGTTTTTTATGTCACTTCAAACGCCTTTAGCCATTAAACCAAAGGTTTGGAGAAAAAAATCATTTCATTGTTTGCTTCAATTTGTAAATAATTATTTTAAGTAAATTGATGAGGTACTAATGATAAAAATATTATATTTTTTGCTTCTATTTTAAGATAAATGACTAAAGAGATATTCAACATGATTTTATCATATTTCAATATTCTTAAAAAATACTATAAAATAATTCTTAAATCAGACAGTTTTGTTTATCACTTTATATATATATATATATTTCATTTTTATCATGTAAAAACATTTTTATACTTTACATATTTACTTAACTACTTTAGATAATTCATAATTTATGAATCAAACACGTTAGTTTTTTTTTTTTTTTTCATCTTATACCATAAATCAAACAGATTATACATATATATTTACGCATCTTAAAAATAAAACTTTAATATCAATATATGATAAATTATTATTTTACAAGTAAAAGATTAATGTATATATATTATTTTATTAAGAGATTATAAACATTAGAATAAATTTTAAAAAATTAAAAATATAAAAACTATAAAAATTTTATGCATCGCACAGCTAATATTATATAATTATTAAACCAAATCAACCGAATTTAAATCTTAAAAGTGAAAGTGAAGACCCAATTCATTTTTAATCAGTTTCATATTTTTGCCCAACCCAATTAACGGGTTAAACGGGCTTGTCAAAACCGCCCAAATATAATATGGGCCTTTTGGCTCACCCTTGGGACACCTCTATTTGATTATAAAGTTTTTCAGTTGTAATTTAAAAAAAAAGAAAAGGTTGGGATGGGTTATTAGGGAATGGAATAAACGTTGTCGTATAAAAGGGTAGTTATGTACTCGACAGGTTAAAACCCTAATTCTCTCAGTCTAGTGTATCTTCCACTCGCTCAGGTAGTACGCAGGGAGCTTCCGCCGCAGCAGAAAGAAAGAGAAAACGGGAAAAAATGGAGGCAGCGAGAACTGTTAAGGACGTTTCTCCCCACGATTTCGTGAAGGCCTACGCCGCCCATCTCAAGCGCTCCGGCAAGGTTTTCTTTTTAGAAACTTATCCCTTTTCCTCTTCATTTCTTGCTTTTAGTTTGTAGATTTCGCTGTCCTTTTTCTCTGTTTTAGGGTTTTCATCTTTGATCTAATTTTCCTGTTTTTTCCATTCTGCATTTTGTTTTTCAATCGGAGGATTCTTCTGATTATGGGAAATCCATTTATTAAATTTTCAATTAAGGAGCCTAAAGCAAGTAGATTTTAAATAAATCTTGAAAAATCTTGATGTTGTTACTGCTAATGCTGTTACTCGTACCCTTCCCCTCCGTTCGATTGTTACTTTGCGTATGGGATTCTATAGCTTGATTAATGGTTTCCACGCTTTGACATGTTGTGGGTACAACTCGACTGCTGAAAATCTGGAAGCTGGCATGATTTGTTCGTTTCTATTTTATGCCTGATTTTTCAATAAATTTAAAGAATATCAAGGGATAAGGGAAGTTTACTTCCATCCATAGCAGTTCATTCCTTATGTTTCCTTTTCCTCCTCTTTTTTAACAGATTGAGCTCCCTCCATGGACTGATATTGTCAAGGGTGGTAAACTGAAGGAGCTTGCTCCATTAGACCCTGATTGGTACTATATCAGAGCTGGTACGTAGATTTCTCACTCTCTCTAACCGCCTCCCCAATTTGTTATTCCCTAAAGGCATGCATTAGCCTACTTGTTTACGCGAAAAATGCAATGCAACTAATGCACTGTATGCTTCTATAAGTTCTCATAAATACCATTGTGCATTGCTTTGTAGCTTCTATGGCAAGGAAAATCTACATGAGAGGAGGTCTTGGTGTTGGTGCCTTCAGGAGGATATATGGAGGGGCTAAGAGAAATGGCAGCCGCCCGCGTCATTTCTGCAAGAGCAGTGGCTCTATTGCTCGTCACATTCTCCAGCAATTGCAGAATATGAACATCATCGATCTTGATACCAAGGGGTGAGTTTTTTCACGTATAATTCTTAGGTTTATTATTTGCTATTGCTATGAGCTTTTTAGTACTTTGGAGATATCAATTTAATTGGTTCTCCATGCTATTAATAGTGTAAGGATAGGCAGTATGGCTAGAATTATTCACATGTTTGCCTCTTTGTTCAAAAGAACAAATTTATATCTCTTCGAAAGTAATCTGTTTACTGGGCTGGGCTGCTTTTATTAGTTTGTCTACTTAAGCATAAGGGACAATATCTCCTCGAAGCATGTGTGTAAGAAAAAGCTTTGTGATATTCTCAGCACTGTAGCTAGAAAATCTCTGAAAGTTGAACATTAAATTTTGGATTTTTTTTTTCTTTTAAAAAGAAGTCTGATATAACTTATGCTAGATAACATTTGATACCCACTCCAAAGTAACCCCTGTGATATAATTTATGTTGGATTCTTAGAATATTAATATTTTACATTTTTATTTTTGAAAATCTTTTTGAGATAAGCATGCCAGATTTTCTTTCTTTTCATTAATCTCTTTAGTTCATAACATGAATATTTCAAAAACATTTAATTATTGTATAGCAGAAGTAATTTATGTAGAATAGCTTATTGTGTGTCATATAATTTTGTTTATATTTCATGTAATCAACATAATTTCATCTGTTAATATCAACTAAAATCATATTCCTGTATATCAGTGGTAGGAAAATCACATCTAATGGCCAACGGGATCTTGATCAAGTTGCTGGAAGGATAGCAGTTGCCCTCTGAGAAATTTAGTAGATGCTTTCCTGTGGGTTGAATTCCTGAAATTATTTAGTTGTTTGAAAGAGAACTGTTTTAATTTTCTGTTTTATCTGTGTCTGGTTTCTTCTACATGAAGCTTTTTTTCTCTTATATTCCAATTCCAATGTGCTGTTTGTTGACTATGATCGAGTATGACCTTCAATTTTGAGTCCATTTAAAACTCATTTCTAAATATCAATCTAATCTTCCTTGCCACAAGTATTTTTTTTTCCCATGCTCACTTCATGATCCACGAGTATTGATGCTCACTTCGTTATCCACGACTATTGATGACAAAAACATTAATGATTTTATCTCTTAGTTGTAGGTATTACTAAGCTGTCCTTAGCGTCATGGGTGGTGGTTACTGGTTAAGCGCATCCTCTTTAATTTCAGCTTTTTTTTTTTATATAAAATGATGTATGATAACAATTTTCTGTTTTTCACTTTTCTGCTGTCCAAATTTATAATAGCTTTTTCCCAAGTAATAATTTTAGACATGATAAAAAAATATATAAAAACGATATAATTTAAAATTTAATTAAAATTATTTAAATTTGATAAAAATAACAAAATGTAAATAGGAATCCTAAGCACATAACACATTGCCTTAACTAATGACTCTTGTAAGAAAATTTTCTAGTATTGATAAATGTACTACGACCAAAAAAAAAATATATTCTACTTTATTTAGAAAAGACATCTCGATTAAAAAGAATAAAAGACATCTCCAAACAATGTTTATTTGAGATACGTAATTTTTCTTTATTGTTTTTTATGTATTAGGAAGGAAGATAGAAAATGAGATAATGAAGTTTAAACTGTCATTTTGTATATTTAAAAAAATATTTTTAATCACTAAATTAAAATCCCAAGATTATTTTGGTCTAAATCCTAAGTTGTGGTATTTCTTCGCCTAAGAAGAAACCAGAAACCTAGTGGAGGAGGGGAGAGAAGGGGAGGGTGGTCCCATGTAACTTTATTAACTCGCTCACACGTCTAGCCAACCATGTCCCGTACACACGATGTGGGACCCAATGTTTGTACCACCTTCAGTCTTTTCGCCACCTGGCAACTTTAACCAAGATTCAGAATCTACGCGATAGGACCTCCGCTCCGCTTTCTAGACACGCAATGCACACCCCCCCCCCCCCCCAGGGGCCTTTCCTTCTTTGCTCCAAACTCAGAACCTCCTTTTTTCTTTAAATTTTTATTTTATAATTTTCAATTAAAAACAGTAGAAACTAAATAAAGATATTTTATTTTATTTTATTGTTTTTTATTCTGCTTTCTGTATTATGTCGAACTCGAATATTTGAAAGCCTGAAATTGGGTTTTTTGGCTTTATTGTTTTCGATTTTCCCACAGTTTTCTCTCTCTAGATCAAATCTCGGGCATAGGGTTTTCTCCCTGTGATTTCATCGATCTGCTCGCTCTCTATCTCATTGGCCGTTTCTGTGAGTCTCGGTTTCGCTTTTTTTATTTTATTTATTTTTTGAATTATTCTTATTCTTTCATGTTAGATTGGTAAAGTTATTCATTTTCTGATTTGCTGTTTGGTTGCTGAGAAAAAAAAAAAAGGAAAATTTTCAAGCTTACTTCACTGTGAAGGTTTCTTCTATTTTTTCGTGATCCAAAAATAATGATAGGTTTTAGGTGTTTTAATTTTACTACCTTTTCTCGGTAGTCCGAACAGCGCATTGTATACATCAAGTGATCAATCTAATTGATCTTTTCCCTTTCTTTTTATATATTTGGTTGGGTATATATTGTCGAATTCAAATTGATGTGTCCTTTTGATTATATGAATTACAAGTCACTTCTTCTATGAATTTATAAATTTTTTTTGCAGGTTTTTTTTTTTTTGTTTGTTTCCTTCTTGGCTCTGATCAAGGCGGTGGAGTTTTAATATTATGGTTGTTTAGGCTGTTAAAATTAGTGATTTTGGGTTAGCATTTTTTTTCTCAATATTTAAGCATTTCTTCTTAGAGGAAGAAAAAGGGGCTGTAGGATTGCTGCAAGAAGTGAAGAAAGTGAGATGGTGTAAGAAGTATGAATATGGATAAGAATCTGTATATTTATACAAAATGGGTAGCAAGCTTGGAGCTATTTACATTGACATTTCGTGAGTAGGTGGTGTGGTGTTTGTTAGTTACTGTAGAATGCTATAACATAAGTTTTGAAGAATGGATGAAGAAAGAATGTTGCATCCCAGTTGGATCGACAAGAGTCCTGCTGAAATGGAAGCCGTTTCACGACTTTTCATTTTCTCTTGTGTTATTGCTGGCCTAGTTGGTCTTATGACTATATTTTACACAGCTTTCCAGTGGAGAAGAAACATTAACTTAAGTTGGATGAAAGCTGTAGCTAGGTCGAAGAAAAACCCAAAGGCCAATCCTAAGGTACCTGTGGCTCCTCATACTTGGGAGTTGGAATCTTTATCCCGTGGAAAGAATTTAAACTGCTGTGCTTGCTTAAAGCCAATGTCACCATCCCAAACCCTAGGGCCTATGATAGCTTCAGAGAGTTTCATACACTGTTGTAGAATCTGTGGTGCAGCGGCTCACTTGATTTGCTCTTCAAGTGCACACAAGGATTGCAAGTGTGTATCCATGATCGGCTTTGAGCATGTGATGCACCAGTGGGCAGTTCGATGGACACAGCTTACTGATCAACCTGATGAATCTTCTTTCTGTAGCTATTGTGAAGAGCCATGTAGCGGGTCTTTTCTTGGTGGATCTCCTATATGGTGTTGCTTGTGGTGCCAACGACTCCTACATGTGGACTGTCACAGCAGTATGTCTAATGAAACACGTGATATTTGTGATTTAGGACCATTTAGAAGGCTGATTCTCTCACCTCTTTATGTTAAGGAGTTGAACCCTAATTCTGGATTTCTGAGCTCTATCACACATGGTGCAAATGAGCTTGCTTCTTCAGTACGGGCAACCATTAGGAGTCAGGGCAAGAAACATAAGCATAATAATGAAACCTTGGTTGATACAGGTAGTAATGGTAGCATCTCTGACATATCTACAGAGAACACAGCTGATACCCCACAAAATGAAAATGGTTCTCATGCATTAGAAGAGAACTGCAACGGAAGCATGAATGTGAGAACCCCTTGCCAAGATGGTGGCACTGAGAAGAAAATGGAATCAAAGCCTAGTTTCAAAAGAAGTGGATCGATTAATCAGAAGGACGAGTCTCAGGCATTAAGAATGAAGCAAAGATATGAGTTGATAGATCTGCCACCAGATGCAAGACCGTTACTGGTTTTCATCAACAAGAAGAGTGGTGCACAGCGTGGAGATTCCCTCAGGCAGCGCTTGAACCTTCTTTTGAATCCTGTTCAGGTTTGATTGATTAGCCATGAATTTTTCTGTTTATTTATTGGTGATGGGGGTGTGGTAGTTGTATGGGGGGAACTATGGGCCAAAAAATAAATGAAAATTCCAATTTCTTTCCTGACTTTTTTTAGTCCCAAAACTGATGAGATTAATTAATACTTCCTTGCTTTTGGAGCAGTTATAACTTATGCATGATAATCGGCATCTTGACAGATGATATAGAGTGATGTGCAAGCTAAACTTGATAAAAAAAGCATTTAATACAATATTAATGAAAATAGTTTAATTTTAGAATCATCCGATTGTTTCTGGCTATTTGCCTGTTAAATTTTGGAAGAGTAGCCAGCACAGCCACTCAAGGTGGTCTGAGTATTTTCTGAATTGTTGGCTTACCATATTATGCCAGAGTTCATGTTCAGTACATCAGATATCAGCTAGTTGGGCAGGAATGACTTTGTTCAAAAACCATAGAAAATTGTGAAAGCAAAACTATAATTGCACACTCTATCACTTGGCCGGGAATGACTTTCCTCAGATTCTTGGAAGATGAACTTACTTTCTGAGTGTTTTAATGAAGTAATAACCTTACAATTATACCATAGTTGCTAATGTCTCCACTTCGATTGGCTGGTTTTTGGTTCTTGCTGGTTTTGATTTTAGCTTTCATTCTTGCTTTTATAGTTGTCAATACATTTTCCTGTTTGGTGTTTGTAAAGGCTTTTCTCATTAAAATTGGTCACAGGTATTTGTTGGTTTTTCAGTTTGCTGTTTTTGAGGATCTTCTTGAAATTTGTAACAGGTTTTTGAATTGAGTTCAACACAGGGACCAGAGATGGGTCTTTTTCCATTCAGAAAGGTGCCTCACTTCAGAATACTTGTATGCGGGGGAGATGGTACTGTTGGTTGGGTTCTTAATGCAATAGACAAGCAAAATTTCATTTCTCCACCTCCAGTTGCTATTCTCCCTGCTGGAACTGGAAATGATTTGGCCAGGGTTCTGTCCTGGGGAGGTGGTTTGGGCTCAGTGGAGAGACAAGGAGGCCTTTGCACAGTGTTGCAACACATAGAGCATGCTGCTGTGACCATTCTTGACCGCTGGAAAGTAGCTATTTTGAACCAACAGGGGAAGCAACTTCAATCTCCAAAATTTATGAACAACTATCTTGGTATGCAGACTAGTTCTTTTAAGTCTTCTGAAATCTGGTTAAGTTGAATGTCTAGATTGTCAACTTGAAATTTGACTCCTCTGAGAGGGGTGAGGAAAGCAAGAACAAGAGCAAGAGAGTCTGATTTCTAGGTAGCTGGTTTTTTGGTTTTGCTTGGGTTTGTACTTAGCTGCAAGTTGGACTTTCTGATATTTGTAAATATCTTTTTGTGGTACCTTGAAATGCCCAAAATCGTAGATTGAATGGGATACTTGGTGTTTTAGCTGGCTGATGGGTAGTTTTTAGCTTGTTCAATTATCGTGGTTACCGGTTTATTGGTATTTCCTGATGTCTTTTGTATTTACTTATTATAACTTGGTAGTCTTCTTATGCCTATTGATTCTCTCACAGGGATTGGTTGTGATGCGAAGGTTGCTTTGGACATTCACAACTTACGAGAGGAGAACCCTGAGAAGTTTTACAATCAGGTAGTTATAATCCTCTTGCATTATGCATTTTGAAGTGCTATGCAAAATAAGCAGTGACAATTGATTGAATAATTATGTAGTTTGTCCAACCGAAATGGATTTTTAATTTCAGCCTTCCTGATTATCATAATTTTGGATGTTCTGATCTTTATCCTTCGCATATTTGTAAACTCATGGTTTTAAAATTATAAATATATAAATACAAATTGTGCCAGTCGAATTTATACTCTCTACATCAGTGCAAACTTTTTTTTTTCCTCTGAATGTTATTTACAACTTAAAGAATACAGAGATTATGTTACTCAACTCTTAATTGATTTATGGACCTCTTGTCCATAATTCCATTGATGACGAAATGTGGTATTTGTGTGTTTTTATGCAGATCTGATGGAGATATCTACATGATTTGGATTCATTTTGGTCTATGTATCATTGTGATAACTTTTGTGTTTTCTAATGATCTGATCTTATTTGGTTGTCCAATTCAATCTTGCTGAAGTTACCTCAATATACCTGCAGTTTATGAATAAAGTGCTTTATGCAAAAGAGGGTGCTAGGAGTATAATGGATAGGACATTTGCAGATTTTCCTTGGCAAGTTAGAGTAGAAGTGGATGGTGTTGAGATAGAGGTCCCTGAGGTATTGGATGCTAGCTTTTATTTAGTTACTTTTGTGAAAATATAGATATCATGTGATGATAGTTCAGAAGAGTTTTTCTTTCTTGAGCCTTCCATGTATATTTTTTTTTGAGCTTTTTTTCAGTTGGAACAACAGCTGCACATTTGATCTGATCTTTTGATTATTTTTGAAGAAGTCACTCTTTTTTTTCCTTTGATAAAAAGATATCTAAAAGGTTACAAGATCTGTTTTTCTGTTAGTGACTCTTCCTTTAAAGCTGTTGTTCTTCTGTTTAATTTTTTGTTTTCTAATTCTCTTGGTGTTATCAGTTCAAATTCTCTCAAACTTGTTTTTGGTTATTTGAAATAATTTTTGACTGCTTGTAATAACTTTTGTTTGTACTGCTATTTCTTTTCCCCATCAGAAGTTCTTTTTTTTTTTTTTTTTAAATTGTTTATACATTGATGCCTAAGAGTTTTAATGGTGCAAATAACTATTGGTTCTTATCACTGTGGATTTTATGATGCTGTTCTAAATCTATACAGGATGCAGAAGGTGTGCTTGTTGCAAACATTGGAAGCTACATGGGGGGTGTAGACCTTTGGCAAAATGAGGATGAGACATATGAGAATTTTGATCCCCAGTCTATGCATGATAAAATACTAGAGGTCGTGAGCATATCTGGAACTTGGCACCTTGGAAAACTGCAGGTAATCTATTCCCTTGAGGAAAGCTAAGCTTAGTGTTAAAGTTGTCTGGCATTTTCGAAGGCATACGAAATCAAGTTCTATCTAATTTGATTCGATGCATAAAAGAACTTGGCTTTGTCATACCATATCTCTAGTGCAGACTGCATGCCTTAAAGCACAATATGGAAAAAGTCAGCCCTTGTCATTTTCTTTTATGCTAAACAGTAAAGCATTAAATTGTCTTTGATACAACTTAATAAATTTTGTTTTTTTTTTTTTTTTTTTCCTTTTGGTTCCTTCTGATTTGAGCTCTGGAAGTTTGACATTGAAGTCTTGACATGGAATATGTCTCTTAGTTGCTGCTTTGTGCTATGACAGGTGGGTCTTTCTCGTGCTCGAAGACTTGCACAGGGACAGTCAATTAAGATACAGCTGTTTGCTGCATTGCCTGTTCAAATTGACGGAGAACCTTGGTCTCAGCAGCCATGTACATTGTTGATATCACATCATGGACAGGTCCTCTCTCTCTCTCTCATGTACACATGATATTTTACAGCTTGATTCCTTGCAGAGTACTTGGAACATCTTCCAAAGTATTATAAAAGAATCAATCTGCAAGTATTTCCTTTCGGCAAATTTGGCCAGAGTTAAAACTTTTATCCATGATTTCTTTTTGTCTGCTTCATAAATTAGTGTATCATGTTAGTGTTCTAAATTCGAACTACCTTAAATTTTTTCCGAGAAACCTTATATGGTTGTCATTCATATTTGTTGTACTTTGTTACATTCCTAATTATTACAACTATATGATTTGGGCAGGCCTTCATGTTGAAGAGGACAGCTGAGGAACCTCTAGGTCATGCAGCGGCCATAATAATGGATGTGCTTGAGAGTGCTGAAACAAATCACATAATTAATGCTTCACAGAAGCGAGCTCTTCTTCAAGAAATGGCATTAAGGCTTGCTTAAAGGTTTTTTTCTCAGATACTTACAGTCAGCGATCATGTTCTTGTTGTGCAGGCTTTTCGCAAAAATATTTCTTGTTTTATATAATCTCTCTGTTTCCTCTTTTTATACAATGTATACATCATGGTTTCTGCCAAAGCTTCTTGTTGAAGTGTTTTTGTATATGAATCTTCTTAAACATTAATATGAAAGGAGCCGCTTATTGATCGCAGTTTGCACAATCAAAGATGAGATTTTTAGAGTTGATAAATTCTGTACATTCCACAACTCAGGTAGCGCCAGTTGATTATACGTCTTTTAGCTCATTGGGCTGCTTATTACTCTCAAGCAGCCCTTGTTTGACCTTGTTCCAAACTTTAGCAGCAAGCTTTCTGGTAACTTCCTTTTTTCTCCTGTTGCTTGCATTTCTGTTAATGGTTGCACAGGTTTAAGTGTGAACATAAAACTCTCTTTGGTGCTTCTGAATTTTCTCCGTTTGCACGATCTGAACATTGAGAATACAAGGGAGATTTTAGGTAGCACAAGTGACCTGGTGAGGAGCCACTAGATTGATGCATTGCCTTGTTCAACTGGTATGTCACAGCTCGGAGCTCATGAGTTGTAGAGGGTGCTGCCATTGTTCCTAGGGCTTAGCCTTGTGATAGGGTTCAGACTTTGGAGGTGGCCATAAGTCGGAGAGCTGGATGGTATCGGCATCCCCCTCAGGGTTTTACGATATGGGGAAGGCCGGACACTCTCCTCTGATGTTTCTCCCATTAGAAAAATGGTTATGATGTGTGTCAAGTTTCCTAGCAGGTTTTTGGGTTTTGAATGTGTTGAAATCAGGAATGCACCTTGCAAGTAACGATAGGTGACTGCCATAACCATGCTAAACAAGAAATTTGCTTTGTATTCTACGCTTTGAGCATGTTTTCGCGTAGATTTTGGCCTGTCATATAGGTGGTTTGAGATGAGGTTAATAGTACACATTTTTCTATATCAGAACATGCCGTAGATCAGTGCCAAAAAGAGGATAAATAAAAGTATGGTTCGATTTGAAAAAATTAATAATCGATTTTTATTTAAAAAATAATCGAATCGATCAAATATTTTTTAATAATTTATCGTAATTGAATAAATTAAAATCGGTTTGGTTTGGTTTGATCAGTTTAATTAAATAATCGATTTTTTTATTTTTTTTATTATGAATAATTATTTAATTATAAATTTAATTTAATAAAATTCAAACTTAAGTATCATTCAATTAAATGATTAAAAGATTTAATAATTTCAACAATATTTTATGAAAAAAAAATTTTTCTCAATTTTTTATATTTTTTTAATTAAAAACTCGATTAATTTGATCAATTCGATTATCAATTTTAAAAGTAAAAAATCAATCAAATTAATCAATTTAATTGATTTAAAATATTGATTATAATTAAAATTGAATAAATCTAATCGATTCAATTAAATTCATTCGATTTTGATCGATTTAATCAGTTCAAATCAACTTTTGATCACCTTTAAATAAAAGCATAGAGAGTACGGGGATGTACCAAGGAGATCAATGGATTTTCTTGCTTGTCGGTGCAAAATGTTTGGTATCTTTGATGCAAGTTAACAAAATTGCGGAGAAGTGAAAACAGACAGTGTAATATGGACTGACAATTTAATATTATTGAATGCAAGGTTTAATTTAATTTATTTATATAATTATTTTAAAAAAGTGATACTCAATAGATTTAAAGTTTAAATTTTAATATTTACAAAATTAAGTTCAAATTTTAGTATTTGTAAATCTTTTCCTAATTTTAGACCACAGTTTTTTTTTTAATAAAAAATAATCCAAATTTAGATAAAAGAAGCCTTAGTGTTTCTTACATATGATGAAATTAAATGAAAATTTTATTATCATCAACTATTTGAGATATCCTGGTAAAAGTATTTGATAAATATAATCTTGGTACAAAAAAAAATATAAAAGCCAAAACCTCTAACAAAAAGGAAATAATTTGATGTAGACAATGACATGTGAACAATCTAAAAATATAATATGTGCTCTCTAATAAATGTAATTTAATAATTTAATAAATTAAATAAATAAATTTATTTTTGTTTATCTTAAATCATTTTCAATTAAATTTATAAATAAAGTAATAAAAGTTTAATTACCATCATTAATATATAGAATAATTTTGCAAAGACTTTTTTCAATTATAAATATTCAACTTTGAATTACATTTGTGTAAAAAATATTAACTTTTCAATATTTAATTTTATTTTTTAAGATATGAATAGGTTTTCATTGTTAATTTACTGTATTGACATTTCAGCTAATCTTATATCTTATATAAATATATAAAAACCAAAGTTTGTAACAAAAAAAATAATTTAATGTGAATAGTCTATATTTTCGATATGTGGACAGGCTAAAAAAATGACATGTGTTCTCTAATAAATGTAATTTACTAATTTAAAAAATAAATTAAGTAAATTAAATTTTTATTTACCTTAAATCATTCTTAATTAAATTTATAAATAAGGTAACGAAAATTTAATTGCCATCATTAATATATAAAATAATTTTGCAAAGACTTTTTTCAATTATAGATATTCAACTTTGAATTACATTTGTGTAAAAAATATTCATTTTTCAATATTCAATTCTATTTTTTGAGATATAAATAAGTTTTCATTGTCGATCCACCATTTTTTGCATTGACATTCCAATTAATGAATGTAATTTTGGTATCTAATAAGGCATTTTATCAGCCTAAATAAATATATAAATAATTTAATATCAAGAATTCAAATAAAAAATAAAAGCTTAATTATTTTTAAACATATTTTCACTATATAATATATAGGTGTCTTTTTTTAGGAATTATACTACAAATGATTAATTACCATATAAAACATTTTGATTTGAAGGGATAATTTACTCCCAATCAAAAGCTTTTAAAATATAAAAGATAGACTTTTCAAAATAAATATTAAAACCATGCTAATAATTAAATAACCCATTATAATTGATTTGTTTAAATTACTCCAAAATTTACAAGAATGTCCTTGTTATAAATAAAAAATCATCTTATACTAAGATTGTTCAAAGGTTCACCAAAACTCTCCAAATGCATCTATTTAGTTGTAATTAGGTAAATCTCTACTAAAAAAATTTTATTTAATCTTTTATCTAGCAACCAATAATTTTTTTTTTAATTATTTTTAGTTTGATTTAATTTTTCAATCGTTGTTAACAATAAAAATGTATTACTTTTACTTTAGGTATTATTTCTTTTTGTTTACCTTTTTTAACCAGTAGATGTTTTTACCTTATCATATTTGGTATTACTTCTCTTTTGTTTATTTTTTTATACATATTCAATTACACTCTATTGATTATTTATTCATTCTTAATAATCTTAAATTGTTTTCTTTTTTATTGGCTTGAATTTCATACTATCATGAATCTGTTTTTTATTTCAAAATATTGTATCTAAAATTTTTATAATACAACAAAATAAAAATCTCCCATTTATGGAATTACAATTTTTTTTTAAAAAAACATAGATTTTATTTTTTTACTTTCGCTTTACGATTTTACCTTTCATTTTGAACATTATGTTTATTTATGTTTAATATATGTGATTTTTATTCTATCATATATATTCTATTTAATTTGTTTTGCATGAATCAATAGCATAATTTTTTTTAGTACAACAGCATAATTTTTTAATTAAGATGTTAATTGCTTTTTTTTATACCATGAATGGATGTCTTTTGTCAACAATTTTGTCATGATCAACTATTTGGTTATGGTTAATTCAATTGCTATTGAATAAAAGAATTAAATAAGAAATATATGATGTGATTAATGTGTATTTTCTAATATATGCATAATTGTTTGATGATTTAAAATTTTTTTAAAATAATAACTTAGACAATTTTGCCATTTAGTATCCAACATGATATATAATAAACAGTTAAATAAATTTTATTATTAATGAAAATTGTTAAAAGACTGAAATAGCTCTTTATTTTCAATTTTATGATATATAACAAGATAAATTGTACAAGTTTTACGATAAGTGATATACTTATTTCATCAAATAATTCAAAAACATTGATTCAACATAATCTTATATTCAACATTTTATCATGCACTTTCCTTTTTTTTTTTTTACAATATTTGAATTCTAATTTTTATATTTCAATTCATACAATTGCACATACTAAGAACATATTCCCAAATAGGTGTCAAAAATTCCTTTTTCTTATCCAATTAGTATTTTATATATAGACAACCTACATACTCATAAATCAATTACATATTATTAAAAAAGTTGATTAAGATTTTTCATAAATAATTGATGATAATTAAATAGTTGATGATAATAAATATTGTTAAGGATAAATATAATATTATCATATTGTTAAGGATAAAACTAGTTGTGCAAATTAATATAAATATATAGTTATCCTATTTATTAAATATTTATTATCATCAACTATTTTGATAAATATAAAAATATTTATTAATCCATATTTAGGTAAGTGATATAAAAATAAGTATACAAAAGAGCATATCTTTCACTAGCATCGCACAAGATTAAAATTTTTCATAATAATATGTAATTGATTTATGAGTATATAGGTTGTCTATAAATATATGTATATATATAATGGTGGTATGATAAAGTTGACACTGTTGAAAAATTTTCATAAGTATTCTTCTATTCTTTTTTTTTTTTCTTTTTCTCTTGCTATATTGTTTAAATAATGGGTATGATTTTTTGATATTTTACACCAATTTTCTACATTTTATAATAAGCTCTAACGGGATGTTGTAAGATTATAACTTTGTGACTATTATTATTTTTTGTGATATGTTCTTTTATTTTTTATTTAGTATTATATTTTTGTAAATATATTTTCCTTGATTATTCAAGTAGAATTATTAGATTAATGCTAATTATGATTATTTGATTTTTTTTCTTTTTATTTCAGTTTTGGTTTAGTGCTCTTAAATATTTTATTTTGAAAATTAATTGATAATTAATCTTTTCTTTTCAATTTTATAGTTGCAAAGTTTTTATATTAAAACAAAAAGTTATAATGTTAAAAAAAAAAAGAATGATGATAAATTTCTTCTATCAAAAGTTTGATTTTGTTTACAAACCTTTTTTTGAATGATTTGACTTGATCTATTTATATATATATATATATATATATAAATTTATTATTAATATTTGGCACTTATGTGTTTTTATCTTTTTGATGAATTTATTATTCAATTTGCCAATAAAAATTTATTAAAAGTCTACTTTTCTCTTTTTTTTTTATTTAATTATTGAATATTTCATTTGTAATGAGTAGGGAAAGATATTAGGAATAGTGACTTAAATTTCATAAAATATTTGTTTAGGATTAGTTAGATATTATTTGATGGACAAGAATATTTGTAAGAAAAGAATTTTAAAAGTAAAAAGAATGCTTGATAGGTAAGTTTATATATTTATAAATAGGTGAAGTATTTATAAGGTTAAGTATAAAAAAAAGATGTAAGAGAGTTATAGGATTTTATAAGATAAACATCTCATAAGATTACTGAAGATTTACGTCTTATAGGCAGAAGATTAAGAGAGTCCACATAGATATAGGCGTGTATGTTAGAGTGGACTAGAAACGACTAAGATGGTTCACATAGGTATAGTGTATAAGTACATATGGGTATATATTTATTTAAGTTGAGAATACACTATAGGATAATAAGAGATTGAGAAGACCTATGGATATTAATTGTGGGTGCTTGATTTGATTGATATATATTTGTAATTCTCTACAACTAATGAATTTTTTTCTCATTCGTGGAGGTAGGTCGATTGGGTTAAACCATATTAAATTGTTATATCTTGTGTAATTGATTGATTGTTTGATTTTGCTTTTTCTAATGTGATTGGATTGGGGCTATTTAACCTAACAGGTGGTATTAGAGCTAAAGGTTTGAGACATGAGAAAAGGTAAACCCAAAGGAGTTCAAT